AAAAAAACGGAATAAAACGGAATAAAACAGAATAAATTGTGGTATGCAAGATTCAATACCTGTTCCAGTGATTGCTTGGCCCATATTCTAACACTGTTATCTTCAGATATTGTTAGTAAGTATTCATCATTTCCTTTTACTTCCATTATATTGTCAGTATGGGACCTTAGTAGTGTAGTATAGCTTTTACTAAGAGCATCAATCATTCCTAATTGACCCTATTATTATTATTATTATTATTATTATTAAATGTATAATTAATTATATAATTACTTCACTGGCTCCCATTACAGTAAGCCCATCCTTAGCTCCGCCTACTGCTATAATTGGTTTCTCATGTCCTACAATAAACCAATTATTAATGATTAATTAACTAATAATTAATATTTAATATAAGGTCTGACTAGTTTCCATTGTGACGTGTTTAAAATCAGCAGGCCACAGTCTAACGTATCCATCATAAGTTCCGGTGATGAAAAACCCTTTAATAAACATTATTTAACAAGGTCAAAGCCACACCCACTAATATACCTTCATGAATATATAATGAGGTGATAGCCACGCCTCCTGGGACGTCAGGGAATAACTGCCACACCCTCTTAACTGAGAAGGACTGATAGTCAACCTCAATAACATTACCAGAACTGGACGAAGAATAGCTAGAAAAAAATAAGAAAATAGTCAAAATACATACACTGCATGCAACAAAGCAACAAAGTGTCCATTATATAGAGGCTACACTAACTATTATTATTATTATTATTATTATTATTATTATTATTATTATTATTATTATTATTATTATTATTATTATTATTACATGTTTCCATTATTCTTTATATTCGGGTGATACTGTATATCAGTATAGTAATCATCATGATAGTCCAACAGATTAACAGGAGAGGATCTCAACACGTTCTCTTTGACACGCCAAAACCTCACATTATTCCAACCACAGGAAATGAGTCTGAGAAATCATTATTAAGACATTATTTTATTTCGTTTATTCTTCGTTGCTTTACCTTGTACTGTCAAAAGGTGATATTCTCAATACATTAATATCTACATCAGTGATAGACTTAATATTTAAATCATTATCATTCCAAATAGAGAGCACTTTCTTCCCTCCAGCCCCACCCCCTGCCCCGCCTCCTGCCCTTCCTATACAAGCCAATACGGCACCTGTATAAGAAAGACTACAATATAATAATAATTAAAATATTAATTAATGATTATTAATTACCTTAATCCGGATATTAATTGATTGGATTTTATGACTGATAAGCAACACACTGTAGGCGTATCCCATAGTCTGACCACACCCCCAAACTGAGCGCTGGCTAGTCTCCACCCATCACAGCTCAAAGCAATACTCATAACCTTATTAGGAAGTAACAAAACGTAGCTAGTAAATTTTGAAAGGTGAATCCATTGCCAAAATTTTGGTTATTGGTTTGGCCACGTTCTAATAAGATTTACACATTAAAAATGCCTCAAAATTGTGTAATTTTATTCAAATGCTGAATGTCTATAAAAATGCCAAACTTCTCCCTTTAAAATTACCAGTTATACAGCACCTTACCTTTTCAGTATGGCCAATGAAGAACTCTTGATTTAAAGTCTTAGTTTCTAAAGCAATGATGACATTTTGACAGGTGTAATAGACTTTATTTCCTTGCTTAGATAATATCAACTGATTGATGTTAGTAGCAGAGCTTCCAATCAATTTATTAAGTGATAAAAGGCTTGACGACACCTAATTAATAATAATAAATAATAATAACTATTAATACACATACCTCCTTGTGATTTTCATTAAAGCGTAGTTTAATTATTCTGTTATTATTATTATTATCACCGAACATCTGCTGTGGTATGATCCTAAAGTGATACGTGTCTTCATATTTTAACCCTTTAGTAACAGGCAGTCTCAGTATTGGTGGGAGCTCGTTAGTGTGTGGGCGGTAGAGCACATCACTAGCTAATAAACTCTTGAGATATAAATTAGCATGTATCGTAATCGAAGTGATATATTCGTGACCACACCCCCAATAATCTGACGCTAATGAGTGAAGATCAATAGCTAAACACGTCCAACATGATGAATGATCGGGTGTAGGCGTGGCCTGATTGGTGGGTGTGGTTTCAGTGAAGTAATACGGGACGTCTAAAGTGGCGTTTGATATTTTAAGTTTATTGATAATGTTTGATATCGATACAATCACTGGCTCCTTCTTTCCTTTTAGAACCGACTCCATTTTAATTATAAAATATTTTCTTGATAAAGGACGAAAGGTGATGTACAGGTAGCGCTGAGGTAGGAAGAGGCCAGAGAGAGTGATGTAATGAAGCGAAGGCTCTTCTCCTCTGATCCTGTAAACATCACATTTTATCTTCAAATCCTAATAGATTGCATTAAATATAAACATTAAAGTTAATTCATCTCTACCTTTTCAATAATCACGTCTCCTTTCTTTTCTTTAATCCCTTTCTCTTCAATTATATCAACATCTTTGCTGATGATAATATCCGCCATTTTATTTCAGTATTGTTGCCATAGAAACACCCGCCATTTTGTACATGGGTGGAGCATGAAATTGCCATGGCAACCACAATACTAAACATGGCTGCCAAAAGACATCAACCTGTTCAAGCTGGTGGGTTGTTCACTAGCCACAAAGTGACAGTTAGTAAAGAGACACAAGACCTACTGAAAGGTAAACTACTAATGATAATGTGTTATTGTTTCAGTATTCATTATTGGCTCAGTTATGATGAATGAGGCACGGTTGACAAACTTTCAACAAAGAACACTAAACACAAAAATAAAAAGTAATAATAGTAATAATCAATAGTACGTTAATAAATTAGCTTCTGCATAGGAGGAGAGCCACTGCCATTACACTGTTCTCCTACTACTTCAAAACCATTGGCAGACAGCAAAACTGCTCGCTCTACTAAAAAGAAATCAAAGTCTACTGACGTTAATGGTAGAGGCCTTAGATCAATGGAAACTATCGAAAAGATGCAAAAAATTGTAGATAAAAATTATTTACCACCTCAGTGCCATCAGCATAGTAAGTTTTGTGTTGCCGCAATTACAAGAATTGTAATTAAAATTTAATTCATAGGAGGTTACAATTCCAGCATAGAGAAGGAAAAACTGCAGACAGTGATGGCAAATGAAGAATTAACAGTAGCAAATCCATCTTCGCCAATTCGAGTGAGAAGAGATGATGAAGAAATGGAGAGAACTAGTGATGAAAGTAATAGACATAATGATTTATGATCCATATTTTAGCAATCATTATGTAGTATTGCAAGAAATTGAAGAAAGGCAAGTATTTCTAGAAGAAATGGAGAGACTTGGACGAGGAAAAGAGTTCAAAAACAAAATTATAACTGAAATATCTCAAAAATTAAGAGAATTAGAATTATTAAAGAAGACTTAGTAATTCATAGTAACAAGAGTATTACTTAGTTATGACAATTCAATAACAAAGTATGCAGGAAGTAGGCATTAGTAATAGCAAGAGTAGGAAGTGTTTTTGAGAGAGAGTGAGAGAGATGACCACCCAAGAAGAGAGAAAGATTCTCTTATCATCATCAGATAATGATACAGAAGAAGAAGAAGAAGAATGTAATGCTACAAGCTTAACCAATTCAAAAAGTGACCTTCCATCTCCAAATGATGTCAGAGTAATTGTGATCAAAGATGTAAGGACATTGTGTAGATACTGAATGACATGATTGGACTCCTCTTTGCATAGAAGAAGTCAAGAGCAATGAACAGATACTCAATGCCTGATGATCACTTGAGTTTATCAATGTGTGCCTGCTGCATGTTCTGTCCCATTGGAGTGTGTGCTGTAATGCAGTCATATCAGGTAGCCACAGTGTCCTATTATTAATTATTACTGATCCTTTTAATGTTTAAGGTTCAAGAATATTTTGAAATGGGCCTTCTTGATAAATCCAGAGAGACTTCACAAAATACTTTAAGACTTGCAAAGAAAGGAATATCAATTGGTTGTATTATAATATCATGCATAATGGCGTTCTTACTAACAATAGCTCTCATACTCACTGTACTATTCAAACCAAATGAATATTATTAACCACATAATTTTTATAATTAATAGTAACTTAACTACTTTTGTTACTGAGCATGCGCATTATGACATTCTGCGAAAGCAAAAGGGCGGGACCAAAAACTTCCGTATACTAAACCAATTTCCCGTATAACTGGTTGTTCCGACTTGATTGAGTTGATTCATAAAATTTTTAGAAAAGGGAAGGACGGTGTAGCGAGCCAGAGATGTCCTTGGATTGCTCTAACATCAGCAGCAGCTATGAACCCAGCAGCTTTGTGACAGCATTTCACAGCATACCTCATGTCAATATTGATCTGCGCGAGGTCTCCTCAGACTTTGCCGTCTCTCTCTCTTACTTCGAGGTAGGTACAAAGACCTTGGGCTATTGTTCACGTTATTACGCCATATCCTCTCTCCTTTCTTCTTTAGCCTGTTATAATATGGGCTTGTGTTCCCATCCTGATCTGTCTTTGTATTTTCATACTTCTCTTGGTCTATTTCATATTTATATGCTGTTGCTGTTGCTGCAGAGAGAAAACTAACCGCCCCCGCACTTGCAAACTGTCATGTGCTTTTGTGCTGTCAATTCTGTTTATATTCTGCCTGTAAGCTCCTCTCACTCTCCCTTCTCTCTCTCTCCTCTACTTATATCAGTCACCTTATGTCATGCTCCATGCCATATATGGTATCTTGTATTTTTATATATTTTTATTACATTTATAGTGGGCTGGTTGGAGTATTGATTTATGCAGAAGTTTCATTGAATAAAAACGTTGAGTCGTTTACCACTAACGGGCAGAATGTTGTTAACGAGTTGACAAGAGTTTCTGCATCAGTAAGTTCATGGAATTACATGTATGTACACGTACATGTACATATATTATATACATGAACATGCATTCAATTTATGATCTATGTATGTGTATTTGAGGTATCTTTATTGTCCATTTAAGTCTTTTATTTCATAGGTTGATAATTATAATGGCACGTTAGTCAGCGACTCAATGAGTATTGTTATTGCTGAGATCAGTAATTCCAATGGAGATGGCAAAGATGCTGTCTTGGCATCGGCTAATCTCATATTAGAAGTTAACACTGATATTGATGCTGCGTTAGCTAGCATCAGCAATGGATTGGATTCTGTTCAGTATGACAGTATCATTAATAGCGTCAATAATTTTGAAAACATAAGGTCACTTATTAACTATTGCTGTGATTGCTATCAGTAATGTCATTCGTTAACAGGAATTGGTCGACTATTGGTTTCTTGATTGCCGTTGGACTCTTATTGATTCTCTCTTGTCTTTTAACCATTTGCATGAAATCTGTTTGCATTACAATGTAAGTTTATTACTTTACCTAACCATAAACCATATACTATATTTACTATTTTATTTTCATTTTGTAGCATTTTGGTTATAATCAGTATATTCACAATACTGATATGGATTGCTGCTGGAGGGGCTCTTGCTTCAACTATTGTGCTATCTGACGTCTGCATCGATCCAGATGGACTCATAAGAAATCAAACTAACAACGAGCCAATTGCCAGAGGTATACATATTATTAAATAACTGGTTACACTGTTTTTTTTTAGAAATCGTGAACTATTTTATATCTTGTGAGCCAAGCTGTCGCCCTAGTGTACGTTTTTGTTTTTGCTTTTTATTTTATTTAAAAAAAATATGTACAGGATATAAATGAGACTGATGCTGCATTGCAGAGATATCAGATGGTTGTTAACAATGTGACAGATTATATCAGTGCTAATGTCCCTGGTGCTATGGTATGTTGACACAGTAACCACTACTTCATGATCTCATGCCCTCTCCTTTCTCCCTCTCCTTCTCTTTAAACAGGTTCCATTCGATGCTGTTAAGAATCAGATCACTGTTGCTGACCAGATTTACAATAATGTCTCAACCATATTGAACTGTAATCCTTCGCAAGGAATCAAAGAAGTATGTGATGCACTATATATATAAATTATCTTATTTGATCGCTAAAATACCCTCTTATCACTTCTTTCCCACTCCCCCAGTATTACAATAGCATTCTTGACAGTATGTGTGATCAAGGACAGTAAGTTATCAAAATTGTTATTTTTAATTATGCGCTGGATTAATCTCATTAATAGACTCTTTATTGTCATAACTTTCTCCGTGTTAAGCGGATTAGCTTTGTCTTTGTTTATTCTGATATGCTGTCTGACAGCTTTTGACGGACTAATAATCAACACAAGGTAGCAGTTATCAATAGTTATTAACGGTTATTAATAGTTATTATTAGTTCCGTGGAGGACTTTGATCAAGATGACATTGTTGCTTATGATAGTGAAAGAGCTAATTCGTGGGCGGCATCTCCACGAAGATACAGTTACAATGAACCTTACTCCTCCAAGTGAGCTAAAGGGACAACTTCATTACATCATAAAACACTCATTGCTATATTATAATAATCATTGATACAATAATAATAAATATAATTATTATAATGCTGCTGTTTCTGTTATTCACTATTATTATTATTATTAATATTATTATTATTATTATTATTATTATATCTTCAGTGGAAGGAATAGGTCTGATTCTAATAATAGTAACGAAAGGCGTGAGATGATTCAAATGAACGAAGCTACCAATTCTCTACCTGGTGTAAGTGACCACACCCACCACCCCTAGCCACACCCATTTTCTTGATATTTATAGTACTCTGATATTGGCGGGAGACCTGTATCAGGCGAGTATGATCATTTCGACGTTTAAGAGTGTTTCATTCTTTTTTCGAGTGAAAATAATAATATTAATGACAATAAAAAACACACAAGTATATAAATTTTAAACGAAAATTAATATTAGTTAATAATTACTCTTAATAATTATGTTTAATTGTCACTGTCTGTCGCTGTAAGCTATTGAGGTTATTGCTTTGGAGTGTCCTTGATATTCTCTTATCGGAGACGACTGCTCAACGTGCCACAATCTGGCAACATGGTCGCTGGCTGCTGTGGGTGTGGTTGCTGGTTATTAATAGTTATTAAGTGTCTTACCGGTGAATATGTATTGGGAATCACAAGAAAAGGCACAGTCCCACACCCACTTGTCAGCTTCTCTTTTTAAAGTGTTCCGTAAACTGAAATCGGCCGTTGACCAAACTTTGCAGGTACCATCAGCAGAGGTAGTGGCTAATAAACTAAATATCGATTAATAAATAATGATACTATATTGAAACGAATATTAATAATAATTAGTGGATATATATAGGTGAGTTTTATTGCCACTAGTGTGCAAAATGAAACAAAATGGCAGGACAGCTTGTTCAGAGAACTGCCAAATTGCCAATCACCATAACTGTCAATATTAATATCTTGCTGATGTACAGTTACATGTATATAATAATAATTATTATTATTCTTATTTCTTGCTTGTTTTGCAGCAATACCTTGAATCAGGACTAAATACACACTTGAGTGCATATTTCTTATGAGAGGCTGTCTTTGTTCTTGGAGTGAGCGTGATCGGTTGCGTTGAGCCACTGCTGGTCAGACTCCATACATAACATATTCCTTTACTATTGACAGCTGCTAAATAAGCACCATCTGGATCTATATGAACACTGTGGATAGACACCTCTGGCTCCGGTATCTATTCATAAACATAATTAGGCATATAATAAATAATTATTAGTATACCAGCTGCTCATTATAATCAGTAGTAAGGTCCCAAACATGGACCGTCCCACTTTGATCCCCGACTATTAGAGTTGCCTGGTTTGGATGAAGGCACATACAATTGACCGGAGAAGAGACTTGAAACAACCTTTGACACTGCTGATTGCTACCCCTGGAGAAATATACACCATTATTAAAGATGTCTTAATTTCTTCTTCTGTCCCTCATACCTCAAGTCCCATATCCTGGCCATACAGTCCTCACCTCCACTGTACATAAACTGACCATTGTCGTAGAAACCAACGCTTGTTACATTCTTTGTCATTCCTTCAAAAACGTACACCTGTATAGGGAGAGGGGGCAATAGTTATGAATGATCAGGTAAAAGAAGAGAAAGGGGAGGGGACAATAGTTATGAATGATCAGGTTTCCTACAGAGCTAAAAGCTGACAGCCTTATCACAGCTTTTGGGGCAACTTTAAAAATTCATAAAAAATCTAATTTTGATCGAAATCAGCTTAAACTTTCTATGCAACATAAGTACATGTATATGCATCAGAAAATATTATGAAAATTGAGAATTCTCCACTTTGCATTTTTGGCAGAATTTGGCCAGAGTCCCTGTACTATAGTACAGGGACTTCAACCCGATTTTGGAGCAACTTTAAAAATTCGTAAAAAATCTAATTTTGATCAGAATCAGCTTAAACTTTCTATGCAACATAAGTACATGTATATGCATCAGGAAAAAATATAAAAATGCAGAATTCTCTACTTTTCATTTTTGATGAAATTTGACCAAAGTCCCTGTACTATAGTACAAGGACTTTGGCAATTTTTGGAGTAACTTGAATACTATACGAAGAACCCTAGTTATGACTCACTGGTGTTTGATCTGACGACTTTATATCATACATACGAATCTGTTGATAGGCTAAATAATAATAAAATAAACAAACAAACAAAATGGTGACAAACCAGCAGAAACCAGACATCTTTTATCAGGTGTAATAGCTAATTGGTTAACTTGCTAAAAATAAATAAATAACAATGTCACAGGCTATCAATTCAAGCATTGTCCATCTCACAGAGTCTGGGTGAGGTATGGTCCTATAACATACCCCGTCGTGAGGGTACCAGAACTTCAAACTGTGATCATAACCACCAGTTACAAGAACTATACCTTGATCCATAGTTTTCTCAATTGACCACGCCCATGTACAGCCATGCCCACAAGGTGTGGTCTTTTCAATTTAGCAGCTAGCCACGTCCAACATTGTCAAGCGAATCACCAAATCCACCCACTTCAGCCACCATAATTCACCACACCACTGTACACAGACCAGCCAGGGTCGCCATTATTAGGTAAGATCAATGGAATGGCTTATAGATCACACCTTACCTCTCTCTCCCTCCCTCCCTCCCCCCTCTCCCTTTGAATAGACCACAAGACTATGTCTGAGGACTTGTTTGTCAAGTTCCATCAGGCTTGTGCTGAAGGAGACACACTCTTAGTCCAGAACATCCTCGAGGAGAACGAGTCTATCAAACAATCAATAAACAAATGTATTTATAATAACATGTTTGGTGGTACTCTGGCCGCCATCCACCTTGCCGTGGAGGGCATGCATAAAGACATATGTGAGTGTCTTTTGAAGAACGGGGCGGATACGAGCATCTCTGACTCTGAGGGTTACGCTCCGTTGCACATTGCTTGTAATGTTGGGAATGTTCAGATTGTTAAACTATTACTGGACAGTGGGGCAGATCCGGAGGCCCTGGTCGAAAGAATCGGATCTACTACGCTACACGAGGCTGTCTGTGGTGGATCCATCGAAGTCGTCGAGTGTATTTTAAATAAAGTTAATAATATTGAAAAGTTATTGCACCATCAAGACTCAAAGGGCTGGTCACCGCTTCACTATGCTTGCCAATATGGCCACTTAAACATTGCTTCTGCTCTCCTCTCATTCTCTCCCTCTACCATCGACATTAAAGTCCTCATTGGAAGGACGGCGTTACATTTGGCGGCGTTTGAAGGCCACACAGAGTGCGTCCGTTTGCTACTAAACAACGGATGCCAGATTGACGTACAAGACGAAGAAGGCTGGACTCCAGTTATACTAGCGTGTCAGGAAGGACACCCAGAGATTGTTAAAATGATCTGCTCTCATTCTCCTGACCTTAGTTTGGTGAGTAACCTCACAGGACGTAACGCTATTCATGCCGCCAGTTTCCACGGTCACCTCCAATGTATATCGCATCTATTAGAGAGTGGCAAATGTTCTGAGCTGATCCACGCTTGCGATAAAGATGGATGGACTCCATTGCATTTGGCTGCTCAAGAAGGCCACCTAAATATCGTGAGATTATTTTTATCGTCTAATATAACTCGATCAGTTAAAGTCGACTGTCAAGCGAAGAACGGTCGGACTCCATTGCATAACGCTGTCCTTAAGGGGAAGCTATCAGTCATCGACGAGTTACTAAAGTTTGGTGCTAACATCAGAGTGAAGGACACCAAGGGGTGGAGCCCGCTTCATGTCGCCGCCCAGCATGGCTTCTATGACATAGTTGACAGACTTGTCTCTCACGGCAGTGATATTAACGATATTATCGACAGTGGACGAAACTCACTTCATTTGGCTGCTTTCGAAGGTCACGAAAAAGTAGCTCAATATTTGTTAGCGAAAGGAATCAATTATACATTACAGGACAAAGACCAATGGAGCCCTCTACATTTAGCAGTCCAAGAGGGTCATTGTAATATCGTTTCTCTCCTCCTTAACCAGTCAAAAATAGTCATTAACGTTCAAGCAAAGAATCGCCGCGTTCCTCTACACTCAGCCTGTTACCATGGCCACGTGGAGATTGCCAAGTTATTGCTTGGGAGAGGAGCGGATTGGAACATTAAGGACGAGAAGGGATGGACTCCGCTGCATCTCTGTGCTCAAGAGGGTCACTTGGAGATAGTTAAAACACTGATTAGCAACGGAGCGTCAGTGAGCATCCAATCGGATAACATGAGGGCTCCCCTTCACCTTGCCTGTATGAAGGGCAAGGTATCTGTAGTTGAGTACCTGCTCAGTTGTAACGCTGACATTGAGCTGAGGGACTCACGGAAGTGGACTCCATTATGCATCGCCTGTCATCACAATCATTTTGATGTCGTTTCAAGGCTCATAGACGAAGGAGCTACTGTCAACGTACAGATAGGAGGAGGAAGGAACCCACTTCATTTAGCAGCTTTTAACGGGTTTATAAGAATCTGCGAGTTACTGATTGAAAGAGGGGTAGAGCTTGACGGCAAAGACAATGAGGGCTGGACTCCACTTCATTTAGCAGCTCAAGAAGGCGCCATTGAAGTTGTGAAACTCCTCGTTGAGTCTGGCTCTGATATCCACTCATCTTCAGTTAGTGGGAGGCGGCCACTACACATGTGTTCATCCTCTGGCTACGTTGAAATCATTAATTTTCTTTTATCCTGTGGAGCGCTAGTGAATGCTACTGACGCTAAGCTCTGGACCCCGATTCACTCCGCCTGTAATAAAGGACACCTCAAAGCAGCGATGGTTCTTTACGAAGCCGGAGCTGAGATTGATGCCAAGATTCATATGGGAAGGAACTCACTTCATCTCTGTGCGTTTAACGGGCACATTGATGTAGCCATGTTTCTCCTCAAGCACAACATACCGATACATGACAAAGATAAAGACGGATGGACTTCACTACATCTTGCTGCTCAAGAGGGTCACATCAATATAGTGAAGTTGCTCCTTTCCAATGGAGCCGATGCAACAATGCAGGCTAACAACTTAAGAATACCATTACACTTAGCAGCAATGCACGGTCACTCCGAAATAGTTAAATTATTACTAAAGCATTCACCTCAAGCTGATGCAACCGACTGTAAGAATTGGACTCCGTTGCATTCTGCCTGTAATAAGTGTCAGTTTGAGACTGTTCGCGTATTGATAGACGAAGGATCAGATGTTCATAAGGTCATCGATACGAGACGTAACTGTCTCCATTTAGCAGCTTTCAACGGAGGAAAGAAAGTGTGTGAGCTGCTCCTTGAGCATGGCTGTGACTTATTAGCTCAAGATCAAGATGGCTGGTCTCCGCTACACTTGGCATCTCAAGAAGGTCACACAGATACAGTACAGCTGTTCCTGGATCATGACTCTAACGTTGAGACACTTTCCAATGATGGGAGGACACCGCTCCATCTTGCCTGTCTCAAGGGACGCACTGAAGTAGTACAAGCTCTTATATCCAGCAAGGCTCGCTGCGACGTGGTGGACAGTTCAAACTGGACGCCACTGATTGATGCTGCTAGCGGAGGGTTCCTGGAACTAGTTAAAATTCTCACTAATCATCAGGTCCCACTTGATGTCCAGACTTCGGGGAGACAGGAGACAGCTCTTCATTTGTGCGTCATTAACAATCACCCTGAGGTAGCTCTGTACCTAGTCCAACGTGGAGCTAATTTTAGAATAAATGACATAACCGGTAAAACCAGTTTTCATTTAGCAGTCCAGAAGGGACTCTTGTCAGTCGTTGAAGAAATGATCAGAAGAAATGAGTTGGTACTCCATGACAAAACAGACTCCGGTATCAGTCCACTCAAACTGGCTTGCTCTGGCGGCCATCTTGAAGTGGTAGCACTTCTAATTCACAAAGGAGCTGTCCTTAATAACATGATTGAAGATGCTAAGGAGGCGCTGGAGGCTGCTAGAAGTAATGGATACAACGATATTGTGTGTCTTATTATTGACAGTGGGATATTAGATGGAGATGGGTGGTATGTAGGATAATAACTTATTATTATTATTATTTTAATTTATTATTATTATTAATGCGTGTGGAAAAAATAATTTTAATGGTTAAATCAATTAATTGGGCGTGGCTAGAATATTTCCAAAAAGGGCGTGGTACCTGCAAGGTCATCTTTTGTTCTTCACCAACTTTATCTTTTTAATACAGCAAACAATGCCTCACGGAGGGGGACACCATGGCGGAGGAGGGTTTCATCATCACGGTGGAGGAGGATTTGGTCATTGGGGTGGCCATCGTCACCATCATCATCATCGACACTACGGCTACCGGCCAACCGGTGTATGGTGGTACGGCGGTGGTGGGTACTACGGCTACAGGAGAGGTCGCATTATATTCTGGGGCAGCTCACTAGTCGTAACGTGCATAATTATAATAGCTGTTACTCTCTCTGTTAGATTCTCCACAGGAGGAGAAGACGAGAAGTACTTTACACCTGGTGATACAAGGATTCACTCTTTCTCTTCATTCTTCTGCAGTGGTCTCCAGGTAGGGGTCCCTGGGCTTCCCTCTGGTTCTACTGGCCATGCCTACCTCATTGATACCGTCCCTCCACTCAGCGAGAAGAATATGGTCAATTTCACTAAATATTTTGGTCTTAATTCTGGCGAATTCGAGTACTGGCATTACTATCTCTACAAAGGCTCCAATATATCCTACAGTGCTTGCGTCTCCGAAGATTCTCATGCCACATCTTTTTCTTTTTATATAGTCAAAGGAACGTCAAAGTTTAGCAGCTGGAAGGATGAACCGACAAAGTCTAAAGCAGTCAGTAGTGTCTATGTAGCAACTAGTTGTGACCAAGGCTTTAACTATTTGACTTATTCTATCAAAGATGAAGACCATTATTATCTTGCTTATTCTCATACTGCATCTTATAACCTGCGAGGAATGCAGAATATAATTATCGAGAGGTTTGAATATTCGGCTCCAAATACCTCACTCTCCAGCTGTGAATTAAGCAATGACAATACTTGCACTTTATCAGTTGGTTTCTCAGCTAAAAAGAACAAAGGTTTAGTAATACTACCCATACCTTCTAACATTGACTGGGATAGCACACTGTACAAAGTAATGTTCAAATGTAGCCCACAGGCTTTTGGCTATGTCATCATAACACTGGTACCACTCGCTTTTGTATTTATTGTTCTCTTTGTTATAATAATCTTTTGTGTCTATCGTGCAAAGAAGAGTTCATCAAAACCAGTTGGGGTACAGGGAGCCAGTGATGAAACCGAAAAGACTCCACTGCATACTGACCAACCTCCTCCTTATAATCCTAACTATTAGCTAGTCACTTTTTATAATAGCTGTGCTGTTTTTATAGTCATGATTAATTTTGTCAGTGTTTTTTATTGTATTAACTTTTTAATAACTACCGGATGTAATTTATAATGACGTTAATCACTTCCGGTTATATTTTTTTGCCAGTATGACGCCACATAATTAGTAGCTCACTTCCTGTTTCATTTTTCCTGAAAACTAGCTAGTGTTGCTTTTATATTATTTTTTTATAAAAGAAAGGTCTACTACTTAAATAATGAACAAATATAATAACAGCACAGCAGGTGTGTTTGTCTCTCTCTGTGTGTGTATGTCTTTATACTAATGTCACATGATAGAGTTTGCTATTGTCATTCATGAGAGGTTAGTAAGTAATTCATCTAGCCTAGGAACTGTGGAGAGATTACCACAAGAGACAACATTGGGACGTGTAGCAAAGACAGATTTGACAAACTATAAGAGAGAATTAATATTAATCATTGATTGATTCATTATTATAGAAGATACTCACTCCTACTACATCTTGACTGGTGACATTGTCAATTTCTTTTATCTTTTCACTAATCTCAGTATACTTGTTAGTAAATGACACCTGCTGGCCAATGTCATTCAACAAATCACAGCCCATCAAGAGATCAGCTTTATACTGATTCCTATCAGCGTTAAGATCAATATCAGTATCAGTCTATCAATATCAGTATTACTTTGCTCGTGTAAGATCAGCCTCGTCAACATTTCCTTTGCTGATTTCACTAAATTCCGCCATAGCTAGTTGCAATACCTGTTGGGGGTGTGGTTAGTTGTCAAGGCAACAAAAACATACCTGTCCCATTATAGAACCATCGGCTTTAGCGTAAAATCCAAAGATTCCATTGTCACTGTAACGAATGTTGATGGCATTGATCTGTAGATAAATAGTTAATTTATAAAAAATAATTAATAATAATTTACGTCAAATTTATCATCAATTTTACGTGCAACAGCTTTTCTCAGCCTATAGAAACATTGTAAAATAAAAAATTAAATATGAATGAATAAATAAATAAAATAATAAATTCATATCCAAATGCTAACCTTGCACTGGCAGACCCACTGCCCCACTTAAGACGTTGACCACACCCTAATAAACACTAAACAACAACAATAATAACAACAACAGAAACAACAACAACATACTTGAACAACACCAGCAATAGATTCACTAGGTCCATAAAGACTAAAAGAGAAATTAACATCATAACTATTACTGTCCTGTCACATTGTAAACATCCCAAATTTTTATTACATTTTCTGATACACATTAATGTCCTTAGGCTATGTAGCAAGTTTGAGTTGATTCCAACAAATACTTTTTGAGTTATCGCCATTTTTAAAAATTGGCCAATTTTTGAAAAATACCCAAGGCTATAGCCCATGGTTTTTTCTAAAAAATGGCTCCAAAATCACATCAAATTTTTATTACATTTTCTGATAGACATTGATGTACTTATGCTATGTAGAAAGTTTGAGCTGATTCCGACAAATACTTTTCGAGTTATGGCCATTTTTAAAAATCAGCCAATTTTTGAAAAATACCCAAGGCTATAGCCTATGGTTTTTTCCAAAAAATGGCTCCGAAATCACCCCAAATTTTTATTACATTTTCTGATAGACATTGATGTACTTGTGCTATGTAGAAAGTTTGAGCTGATTCTGACAAATATTTTTCAAGTTATGGCCATTTTTAAAAATCAGCCAATTTTTGAAAAGTACCCAAGGCTATTATAGCCCATGGTGTTTTCCAAAAAATGGCTCCGAAATCACATCAAATTTTTATTACATTTTCTGATAGACATTGATGTACTTGTGCTATGTAGAAAGTTTGAACTGATTCTGACAAATATTTTTCGAGTTATGGCCATTTTTAAAAATTGGCCAATTTTTGAAAAGTACCCAAGGCTATAGCCCATGGTTTTTTCCAAAAAATGGCTCCGAAATCACATCAAATTTTTATTACATTTTCTGATAGACATTGATGTCCTTATGCTATGTAGCAAGTTTGAGTTGATTCCGATTTCAATTTTTCGAGTTATGGCCATTTTAAAAATAGGCCATTTTTGAATGCCCTATTATATCCCATGCTTGTTTATAAAAACTGTCTTCAAAATTATTCCCAATTTTTATTGGACGTTGATCTGAGTGTGTACCTTGTTCCTTTACAAACAATCCCAACATGTGCCAGAGGGGATCCAGAATCAACACGCAGTTCACCTCCTATTAATTAATAAATAATTAATTATTCATCAATTAACTAATTAATTATTACCTCCCACATATGCTGATTTAGCGATGGCGGAACCGCTTGATTCTGATAAGTTGGTCAATGGTTTGGCACATTTCAATAAAGAATTGTGATCTATTCCAACACCAACCACACTAACATTAGGACTAATGAACCAATCACGGACAAACCCTTCCAACTAATAACAAAATAAAGAAAAAAGAGGAAAAAATAAATAAAATTAAATAATACATGTACAGTTTATTATTATTTTATTTTATTATTCATGTACAGTTTATTATTTATTACGTGTACATGTACATACATCTTCAGATGTGAACTTGTCAACATTATAAGAAGGTGAATAGAGAGAATTACATAATCCATTCCTAAAAGAAATCCTATGCAATCCTTCATTAACAACTAGAAAGAGAGAGTGAGAGGGGGGAGGGAGTGTAGCATAAAGATGGAGTGATTGTTCCTCCTACATACCTATGTTTGGATTCTCACTAGACTCATCAATATTCAACTTTAAATATTGTTTTTGTTCATCAACCTAATAAAGCATTACCAAGGCAACAAATGATAACAATTACCTCATAATGACGGAAAGAAGGATCAGTTATACGACTGCACAACGATGCTATAATGTGCTCTCTAATTAGAATAAACAATAATAATGAATATAATTATGAAAATTATTTATGACTGACTGGTCTCCTTTTAGAAAAGTAGCATTGTACACCATGTGCTCTCTTGTCGTGTTGCAGCTGGTAATGAGAATTTATTTATTTATTTATTTATTTATTCAGTACCTCAATGATCCACCGAGATGTTCAATTTCTCTCATTAACAGATATGACGTCTTTTCCGCTGTGCTCTAAGTAAAAATAAAAATAAACAAACAAATAAATAAATAAACAGCCAGCATCAATACAGTGATTGTACTAACAAGGAAGGCACAGTGTCTCAGTAAATGTGATATTCCTAATTTATGATACGGCTCCACTCTACTCCCACACTTGACGTAGACTCCCAGGCTGACATAAGGAGAGTTAGGGACTTCTTTCGATGCTATTTTAACTCCGTTAGACAATGAACTGACCTGTATTATAAAGAGAGGAGGGTTGAGGGAGGGTTAAGGTAGAGGGTCTGTGTGTATTCAGTTACCATGACTGGCTCTTGTTTCACTTCAGTTTGAGTTTGCTCAAGTTCATCGTAGCCTGGTAAGGATTCTGTGAGTGGTACAGCCGCAACGTTCACATTAGCAAAGCCTCTCTACAAGAAGCTGCTGTCAAAACGTATAGGACTTTATAAAGTACCTTTAAGTATCTTGAAAAACCGACACTTCTTTGAAGCAAACGAGCCGCCATTTTGTTATCAATAACTATTAAACTCGCATACTTCCGTGCACTATGGTAAATTGTTATTAATAAAAATTAATTAGAATAGTAATGAATAATTAATGATCACTGACTAATAAGTCACTCCAGTGTCCTATAAAATCAATTAAAAATCAATTTAAAATTAACCAACTGTAACTAACCATCAGTTGGGTTTTCAAGACATTTCTTAAGATCAGTATCATGAAGTACATCAGATAAAGTTGCTCTTTCTTGAGGAGTTCTCACCAACATCTTATGCAGTAGCTTCTTAACAACAGTATAGTCCTATTGTAGCAGCAATAAATGATAATAATAAGATAAATAAGTACTTTAGGTATATCAGTGTCAATTAATTGCGTGATATCTTTCTCATTGATGCTGTTTGAAGGACTCCTTGCAGCATCTAGACCCAAAGCAAACTGCAATTGCTGAAAATAACAATAATAATAATAAACAAAATAATAATAACTTCTTACATATACAAATCTTGATTGATCATTTGACATGTCATACAACACACAGCCAATGGACCATACATCACACTTACTATCATATCTAGAAATTAACCAACAATCAATTAATTAATTAAAATTATTAAGGTGCTAACCCTAATGCATTATGGCTGCCACCAGTGTTTCCAAGGTAACTGAGAAATAATTCCGGTGCCATATAAGGAGGCGTGCCTATGAAAAGGTATTATTTTTATTATTAATTAATTATAACTTACCACAGAAAGTTTTTGCAATCGATGAACGATTTAGTTTCCTAGCAACTCCAAAATCACCTAAAAATAGCACACACAAATATGGTAAAAGTACTGTGCTAAAAATAGATATACTCTAATGTATACTATGCTATAAATAGAACAAAATTGCTAAAAATAAAAATGAGAATAGAAGTGCCTTGTAGTTATATACCTATCTTAACTTGTCTGTTGGAGTCTAGTAATATATTCTCTGGTTTCAGGTCACGGTGTATAACTTTGTTACAATGACAAGTGTGAACGGCTATGCAGATCTGATACAGCATACTTAATATAACCTACAATGAATTAATCATTAAAATTAATCTCATTCATTCATATATGATTTGTACCTTTTCGTTAAGGCTATCATGTCTTCTGTTCCTTTTAATCCAATCGAAGAGATTCCCTCCCTCACAGTATTCCATAATCATTATCAAACTTTCTTCATTAGACATTACATCGTGAATTTTAACAACGTTCTTGTCATTAATACCAGCTTGCAGCATAATCTGATAACACTAATAATAATAATACATGTAATATTACTACTCACCTCTTGACTGTTGTTTTCATTATTTTCAAATATCTTTGCAGCAAATATCAACTTGGTTTTCTTCTCCTTCACTTTATAAACTGATCCAAACCCACCATGCCCAATTTTAGACTCCAGTTCATATTTCTCGTTGAATTGAGGAGGCAGGTCATCAATTGAGGGAACAGTTGCTCTATTAGACAAGAACAATAAACATCAATAAAATCTTTAAAGTTTTCTCACTCTTCATTGCTTGAGTCTGTTGATAGAGATTGAGCCCCTCCCATTGTTACACCCACGTATTGTGCACGCCTAATTTCATAACCACGCCCAAATAGCAATGGCTGCAAAACCCAAGGAGGAGGTGGACGAAGAGAGCGATTACTACAGTATAACGGATCAGGAGAGGGAGATAATGAAGAAGAGAAGGGACTACATATTACACTACAAGCCTCCAGTCTGGACTTCACCATCCCCTGATCCAGTCAGTGGAATTCCTACGACAATACCAAAGGTCCTTCATGCGAGTATCCGATCCACTAATCATCATAATTATTTCTTATTATGTTTTACTTTTTCTTGACTATTATAATAACCAGATATTGTGTTTTTCGGTCCGATTGGTTCAGGGAAGTCTTCTCTTATCGGTAGTTTGTGTAGAGCTGTGAATCAGTTGAGTTCCTTCCCCGAGAGGGTACTCCAGACTCTAAGAGTGAACCATCCTGACTCTCACGGGACTCAGAACTGGTTGGAGACACCTGGCAACCCATCGAAAACTATCATATATCAAGACACTCGTGGAGATACAGTTAGCAGCTATTACACTATTAATGTTATATGCATGTACATATTTCTTATAGGATATGAGCAATCAAGAAAGAATGAAACATGATTTTTCGCTGCGTGGTATTTATAAAGATGAAGCGCCTATGGGAGACGTTCCTTTTTATAGTAAACATTGGTGGACTTCTCAAAGGTACTGTATATTAATTATAATATGTTTTTTCCATTCTCTGGTTCTATAAAAAGGTTTTTCTGGGAGAGGAGTTTGAGCGATGTCCCACATACTGTCGTCTTTGTTTTCGATGGATCTAGCGAGCCCTTTCTGGACCAGGAGAGCCTCTCGTTTTTCAAAACGATATTTGAAGACTGTACGAAATATGGTAAAGAACTATTATAATGTTTAACATTATTACTAGTTATTATTATTAATAGGTTATGAGCCAATAATAGTAATAACGCATTTGGATCTGATATGCAGGACTGCTCAGAGAGAAGGCAAGAACTGGGAGATTGAAGTCCACCATAAGAAAGACAAGGTCAGCTTTGTGTAATAATTTATTTTAAAATAATATATCATAGGTCCTACAAGCCTTTGAAGACCTTCACTTGACGAGAAAAAGTATTTATTTTGTGACGAATTTCAACAGAGGCGGGGACAGAGGGAGCATACCGCTATGGCAGTCGAGTGATCGCGGGTTTGACAAAGTGAACAAAACCATGATCGACTTGTCTAGGGACCTTTTAAGTATAGCGAACCGTTTTATAGATAGACACTATGGACACAAGAGATGTTGTTTAATTTAAATTATTGTGCAATTATTATGAGGATTAGGTTCAGACTTTGCTATTTCTATTAATTTAGTCACATGACACTCTCTCGGGTCCTGATGCCACGACAAGACTTGATCCGATTCTAAATATTTATTGAGATCAGACTGATGTGTTAGTCTTTCTTTGAGATCAGGATTAATTAATGAGTGGGTGGAGCCAGAATCAGAAACATAATTAGTAATTAAGAAAGCGACTTTATTAGGTCCTGTAAAAAGAAATAATTAACGTACGCTAATAATAATAATATGTACCTAGGACTGATTCTAGTCTCTTTATTAATTGAGTGTAATATCCATCAGTTCCAGTAAGTAATATCCTTGCTTCAGAAGCATTGTAGCAAAGCACAACACCATCAAACTCTCTTATTTCTGATATGTCAAAGTTTCCCTTAACCAGAACGCTCCGTTTAACAGTAAACGGTACCAGTTTCATCAATGGACGATTATTTTCTGCTAAAGGTACTAGTAACTCAAGTTTGGTTGTAATAATCTGTGGACTGTCAAACTCCCGCCCAATGAAAGCAAGGAGGAACTGATCAGGAGTGTCCCGCTCGTAATTGGACTGTGGAAATGTGTAATCTTTCAAAGAGACCACCCCAGCACGACCAAAGCTGCTGACACCATTACTGGAGCTACTGGTTGAAGATTGGGGAGAAGTTCTCTCGTTTACTGAAGGAGAAGGCTCGTGGAAGGGAACACTCTCTCGTTGAGGCTCCTCATTCTTTATATTGTCTTCCTCTCTCTCGGGACTGTCTCTTTCTTCTACTTCAGGACTCTCTCTTTCTCCATCTCGCTCGTCTAACTTGAGTATATCATTGGCAGTTAGTCCAGAGAAATCGTCCATCTTAAAATGGGCGTGGTCTAAATCAGATCACGTGATCAACACCCACGCGCACCTGTGAGCCCCACCCTTCTTTCTTCTTGCAGCAGCTCAGCTACAAGGAAATGGGTATATCTTTGGAGCTGGTAAAATGCAGAGAGGGAGAGAAAGTAAACGAGATACTCATATGCTCCAAATGTTGCCAGTTATTAGAAGACCCAGTCCCTCTAGTCTGTGGCCACTATGCCTGCACTAAGTGTATTGAAGAATCAAAGGACAAAAGCAAAAAAGGATTGTGCCAGAAATGCTACAAGCAGCTGAAACGTGAGCCTGCTAGCGAGATTGCAGCTGAAGTAAAGAATGGATTGGAATCCGTGTCAATCCAGTGTAGCCTAGGATGCAGTAAAGTACTCAATGGAAGTTGCCAGTTTCAGTATCATATTTCAAGTGAGTGTCAATGGAGATTAGTCCAGTGTCCCAATAAAGGATGCCAAGAGTATGTAGCTGTCAAAGATACTAATGAGCATTATCAAGTATGTCCCTATGGACTCACTCAGTGCACAGTCTGCAACGCCATAGTTAGTAAAAGAGATATGGCCGGTCACCAAGCTGTGAAGAGATGCTTTGAGAAGTCAATTAAAAGAGAGAGAGTTCAATCGGCAAGGAAGCTCAGCGAGGAATTAAGATGTCATCGTGACATGATGTTGAAGCAAAGGCATTTAACTGATCAAAATGAAAGGCATTTAATAAAGGAGCATTACACTCAGCAGAAGGAGGACCCGAATGCAAGCAGGAGGTCGATCCAAGCAAGGATAGGGAGCGCATTGGTGGTTAGCGATAATTACTCAAGAAGAAAAGTTTCACAATCTTTGTCTTGCGGAAATTGCGAGGGTCACTTTTTGTCGGGAAGAAGACCGAGTGCCAGAAGACATTCGACAGCTAAAGTAAGCAACAATAAAGAATGAAATGACTTTAAAATCTCCTCCCTCCCTCTCCCTCTCCTGCCTTTTTCTTGCAGCCAGTAAGTTATCAGATAATAATAATAATAATTAATAAATAATCATTTCACATGTAGTGTGACAATTGTCAACACTGGAGAAGATGGAGTGGACCAAGGGGATGGCCCAGTACAATCATTTAGTTATTTCGTTAATTTCGTACTCTAGCAAATTAGTTAGTCCCTCAAATTTAAAGTTCCAAAACTAAAGAATCAAAATTAAAGAATCAAAAGATAAAAGCAAAAAAGGATTGTGCCAGAAATGCTACAAGCAGCTGAAACGTGAGCCTGCTAGCGAGATTGCAGGTGAAGTGAAGAATGGATTGGAATCCATGTCAATCCAGTGTAGCCTAGGATGCGGTAAAGTACTCAATGGAAGTCGCCAGTTTCAGTATCACATTTCTAGTGAATGCCAATGGAGATTAGTCCAGTGTCCCAATAAAGGATGCCAAGAGTATGTAGCTGTCAAAGATACTAATGAGCATTATCAAGCATGTCCCTGTGGACTAACACAATGTACAGTCTGCAATGCCATAGTTAGTAAAAGAGACATGGCTGTATGTCATGTAGCCCATGGTTTTTTAAAAATGGCTCCGAAATCACCCCCAATTTTTATTACATTTTCTGATACATATTGATGCCCTTATGCTGTGTAGAAAGTTTGAGCTGATTCCGACTTCAATTTTTCAAGTTACGGCCATTTTAAGAAAACGTCAAAAATCTGAAAAATACCCAAGGCTCCAAAAAATGGCTCTGAAATGACCCCAAATTTTTATTACATTTTCTGATACATAATTGATGTCCTTATGCTGTGTAGAAAGTTTGAACTGATTTTGACTTCAATTTTTCAAGTTACGGCCATTTTAAGAAAACATCAAAAATCCGAAAAATACCCAAGGCTATAGCCCATGGTTTTTTCCAAAAAATGGCTCCAAAATCACCCCAAATTTTTATTACATTTTCTTATACATATTAATGTCCTTATGCTATGTAGCAAGTTTGAGCTAACTCCAACAAATATTTTTTTAGTTATGGCCATTTTTTAAAATCAGTCAATTTTTGAAAAATACCTAAGGCTATAGCCCATGGTATTTTCCAAAAATTGGCTCCGAAATCACCCCAAATTTTTATTACATTTTCTGATACATATTAATGTACAAAATCCTTTACTTTACATTACAGAAAGTGTCGATAGCAAATTCTCATCTTATTTATCATCTGGATTCTGGAAGGAGGGACCCGCCTCTTTATTTTGAATACATGGTAAGCATAATTATTAATTCACTGTAATAATTAATTAATTAATAGATAGCTGTAGCCAATAACTGTCACTCTTGCATCGAGTTTACTGAACAACTTAAAGTATGCAATTAATATTCATTACACTCGTTAGTTAATTAACTGATATTAATTAACTGACATGTAGAGGACAAGCGAAATTGACATGGGACGGTTAACGAGCAATATTGGGAAATTATTTGGAGACATTTGTGAAAAATATAAATCAGTTTCATTTCATTGGTACAGCTTAATTATCAACATTATATTCATTATTATTACCATTATGTTTGTCCTTGTAGTAATTGTCACCTAATTCATAACTATTAATATTACTTCAGATTTTGTGGTTGCTGCACAAGTTGCAGTTAGCCTTTAACTGTTCTAAATTGTTTATGTTCTGTAGTACATGTATATCCTTTCGTTTTTACAGTTGAAAAATCATTTATTATTATTATTATTATTATTATTATTATTATTATTATTATTATTATTATTAATTAGTTGTGATATATTAATCACAATAATGTTTGAAGATTTGTCTCCAGTACTTGACGGATTAATGACTAAAGAGCAATGGTAATGAATAATTAATTAATTAATAGTTAATTAATTAATATTAATTGATTGTTATAGGTTAAATAAGCCAATGGATTTAGTTGATAAAATTGAAGGAACGATTTTAGATTACAATTCCGATTTCGAGCGCTTGAAGCAAAAGTAATCATAAAAATAATGAAAAGGAATTATTTTGAACCATAATTTTAGCTGCTGCACATACGTAATCGTGCAAACTCAGCAGAGAATATTACGATTTTATTTTGAATCAATGATGAAGAAGTAAGTCATTAATTAATTTATTTATTAATTACTTAATTAAAATTATAGGAAGATTGTACTCAAGAAGAAAGAAAATCGTGAAAAAGCTGCTTCATTTATTCGTGAAGAAAGCGAAAAACTCGGAACTCTTTATGAGACTGTCGCATGCAACAACACCAAAAGTAACCATTTTATTCATTTATTTATTAAATTTTATTAATTTATTTAGTATACAAAGATATTGAAGCAATTTGCTGAACTGATTTCATCAAATTTGGACACCGTGCCATTCATAATTGGAGTAAGTGATTGGTAGTAATAATAATAATAACGAATTGCTCAATAATTGTTATTAATTATTAATTAAAAGGGGTTATCCACTAATTATCCTGAAGTGAAGTTCCACCATGTGGTGGCAGTCCTTGCCATGAGAGGAGACCTGAACAAGACGAGTGTTCAAAAGGTACTTGTTCGTTAAATTTTAGTGTTTTATTGTTTTTCAATATTAGCTAATGGAAAGGACTCCGCTGACAATAGAGTCAGGCGATCAAGACAGAGAAATGTCACCAACAAGAGATTCGAAATCAATTTTATCTCAAATATCAGTCCACAATCCATACACTTTGTTTTAATAAGTACAACAACAACAACAACATTAATAATAATAATATTATTATTATTATTATAAATTACGTAGACGTTTTTAGTAGATCTAGTATCCCTATATCTGTCATAATGTTTTAATATATGTTAGTAATCTTTATCGTCTAATCTTTTAAAGAGACCACCCCAGCACGACCAAAGCTGCTGACACCATTACTGGAGCTACTGGTTGAAGATTGGGGAGAAGTTCTCTCCTTTACTGGAGAAGAAGGTTCGTGGAAGGGAACACTCTCTCGTTGAGGCTCCTCATTCTTTACATTGTCTTCCTCTCTCTTGGGACTGTCTCTTTCTTCTACTTCAGGACTCTCTCTTTCTCCGTCTCTCTCGTCTAACTTGAGTATACATATATCATTAGGAGCTGTTAATCCAGAGAAATCGTCCATCATGGAATAGGCGTGGTGTAAAAGACATCACGTGATCAACACCCACGCGCATCTATGAGCCCCGCCCTTCTTTCCGCTTGCAGCAGCTCAGTTGCAAGGAAATGGGCATATCTTTGGAGCTGGTAAAATGCAGAGAGGGAGAGAAAGTAAACGAGATACTCATATGCTCCAAATGTTGCCAGTTATTAGAAGACCCAGTCCCTCTAGTCTGTGGCCACTATGCTTGCACTAAGTGCATTGAAGAATCAAAAGATAAAAGCAAAAAAGGATTGTGCCAGAAATGCTACAAGCAGCTGAAACGTGAGCCTGCTAGCGAGATTGCAGGTGAAGTGAAGAATGGATTGGAATCCATGTCAATCCAGTGTAGCCTAGGATGCAGTAAAGTACTCAATGGAAGTCGCCAGTTTCAGTATCACATTTCTAGTGAATGCCAATGGAGATTAGTCCAGTGTCCCAATAAAGGATGCCAAGAGTATGTAGCTGTTAAAGATACTAATGAGCATTATCAAGCATGTCCCTATGGACTAACACAATGTACAGTCTGCAACGCCATAGTTAGTAAAAGAGACATGGCTGCTCACCAAGCCGTGAAGAGATGCTTTGAGAAATCGATTAAAAGAGAGAGAGTCCAATCGGCAAGGAAGCTCAGCGAGGAATTAAGATACCATCGTGACATGATGTTGAAGCAAAGGCATTTAACCGACCAAAATGAAAGGCATTTAATAAAGGAGCACTACACTCAGCAGAAAGAGGACCCGAATGCCAGCAGGAGGTCAATCCAAGCAAGGATAGGGAGTGCATTGGTGGTTAGCGATAATTACTCAAGAAGAAAAGTCTCACGATCTTTGTCTTGTGGAACTTGCGAGGGTCACTTTTTGTCGGGAAGAAGACCGAGTGCCAGAAGACATTCGACAGCTAAAGTAAGCAACAATAAACAACGAAATGACTTTAAAATCTCCTTCCTCCTTCTCTCTTTCTCTCTTACTTACAGCCAGTAAGTTATCAAATGATAATAATAATTAATAATAAATATAATCATTTCATATGTAGTGTGACAATTGTCAACACTGGAGAAGATGGAGTGGACCAAGGGGATGGCCCAGCACAATCATTTAGTTATTTCGTTAATTTCGTACTCTAGCAAATTAGTTAGTCCCTCAAATTTAAAGTTCCCGTTAAAGTATTTGCCATTTAACATTAAACTGTACCATAGTTTATCATCTGGCCACATGTCCTTGTATGGTATATCTTGATGCTTGAACCATTGTGGCTTCATTTCTAAAAAAATTAATAAATATAAATAATAATAATACTGATATTAATAATACGAGTACCTTCCGTTTCTATGGGAGTTCCTGTATAAGAGTACGTGCGATACACGTGTACTTCTAGTAGCACAGGATCATTGACAAATTCAAACATTAGTACTCCAACATGATCCAATTCATTGCTGACAGATAGACCACTTTCTTCATGTAACTCTCTATTAGATTAATAGATTATATATAATTTAAAGTATAGGAGTGAGATCAAATATGCTGCATTTGCAGTATTTCCAATCACAGAGTCTAAGTTGCATATCCATCAATGCCATTATGCTTTGTAAAATATTTGGAAACAGGTTGAGAAAATTAGCATTAAATATTAAAAGACCTTTTGGCTCCTTCTTCAATGGTTTCTCCAGCCTCAACTTTACCTCCAAACCCATTCCACCATCCTTGAGCAAACCCTCTCTTTTTATAACCCAAAAGAACTTCCCCTGGCCTTAAAACAAATACCAAAGTGAGGACTTTATTTTTGCAAGTGCTCATGATTTTAGCCCCGCCCAAAATAGCTCTAGCCACGCCCAGTAGATCCACACCTATAAAGTGATCAGAAGAGAAGGAGGAATGAGCCATCCATCTAGACGGCATACAACTATGACTAGCGGGAAGGCTGCTGAGGAGCAGGCCCCAGTAGTAGCCCAGCCAGCTGCTAT